TGAGTGTGTGTGTGTGAGTGAGTGTGTGTGTGTGTGTGTGTAAGAGAGAGAGAGAGAGAGAGAGAGAGAGAGAGTGTGTGTGTGTGTAAGAGAGGACAACTAACGTGAGAACTACCTTCACACTGCATTATATGCATAGACACCTTTATAAATATTATAAGATTAAAAAAAAAACATTTCTGTTGCCATGTTATATTTAAAAATCTATTTTATTTTTGTATGTGTGTGTATATTTTGTAACTTTTTATATATATATATATTTGTATGTATAGTGTTATTAAAGCTTTGGCAATGTAAAGATTCCTTTCACCGTGCCAATAAAGCTATTTGAATCTTGAGAACTACACTCCCTAAAACAGATCTCTCTCTCTCCCTCTCCCTCTGTCTCTCTGTCTCTCTCTCTGTCTCTCTGTCTCCCTCTCTCTCTCTGTCTCCCTCTCCCTCTCTCTCTGTCTCTCTGTCTCTCTCTCTGTCTCCCTCTCTCTCTCTGTCTCTCTGTCTCCCTCTCTCTCTCTGTCTCCCTCTCTCTCTCTCTCTCCCTCTCTGTCTCTCTCTCTCTCTCTGTCTCCCATCGCCCCATCTACCGCCCTCCCCCATGCCTCAATATCTTGTATCTCTCGTCTTTGACTCCTCTCCATCAGGATGCGCCCTTGTGAATCAGACAGCTATATCTGAACACAACTGCACCTAGAAGCCAGCAAACACACTCCGCTCCAGGGGTGCACAGGCACCGAGGGGTGCTTTATTGCTCGGAGAACTGTCACACACGCATGACTTCCTATTAGTTTGTTTATTATCTGTTGCGAGAAGTTAATTACCATTTTTTTAAACAAACATTCAATCAACAGCGAGCGAATGTTTGAGAAGAGGGTTCACGTGTACACAGGAAACTACTCAGAGAAGCATTTGCTGTTGCATAAACACACACATACATGCACATGTGAATGTTACCTGATCCAGACTCTCTCTCTCTGTCTCTCTCTCTCTCTGTCTCTCTGTCTCCCTCTCTCTCTCTCTGTCTCCCTCTCTCTCCCTCTCTCTCTCTCTTTAGGCGTGTTTGAGAGGAGCAGAATCTGCGCAGAACCGATCACCGGCGATCACCGCGAGATGCATGCCGGTTAGAAATGTGTCCGAGTTACGTCCGACTTGCTCTGATGTCATGCTGACGTGTGCCAAAAACCTCTCCACCGACTGCGCTGACCTAAAGCATGATGGGAAACGACTGCCTGACGACACAGCTTCATGCTCATTGGTTCAGACACCTGTGATGCTGCGTTCTCTTCTAAAATGTTTTATTTCTTTATCTGGTTTCATGTGAGTATGTATTTAAATTATGCATGAATATTATATCACATATATAATATGTGTCATATATAACACTATGACAGCGCGATCTCTGTGTGAGATATGCGATTGTCATATTTCTATAAAAATCTAAAATACATGTTTGTATTAAAGTAAAAATGGATGATAAATACGCCTTTCGTATGGAATTAAATAGCAAGCACTTTGAGTGTCCACAGCACGTGAGTGAGAATAACGCGATATCTGTCTTTGATCTCGTAGGTATCTGTTCACTTCGAGAGCTCAGATCTGTCCGTCTGACTGCGCTTACTTCACTGCAGCCGCCTTCATTTCAGGCGAGGCGCGTCTCAAACAAGCCTGGTGTTTGCATACTCCATCACAGATGAAGTGAATTAAATGCAATATTTGTCAAATATATATATATATATATATGGCGATAATACAGCATACCGCGCTATTGAGCCATTCAAAATGACCGCAAGGGAAATTCCTTCACTGCGACAGCCCTATACAGTATAAACCTTTTACTGTTCTAAAAACACAGATTTGTGACCATTATTGGAATTGAAAAGGTTAGAATAAACCCGAAACACACGTGATTGTTGTCATGCGGTGAATCTGGCGTCACGTGGCGTCGGCACCGTCTCAAGTCGGACAAAATTTGTAACCGGCATGCACTGCTTCAAGTCAGAATTTGATCGATCTGCGCAGCGCTGTGTTAAGTCGAATGCACCTTTAATGCTCTCCGTCAGATTGTCCTACCAGGGTTTACTGTGCATGCGCACATCAATGTTTTACACTTCGTGCATGTGTACTGAATATTAAATAAGTTAGTAATGATAACATAATGTGTACCATGCTGATTTGTACTGAGGCTCCATAGATTTGCACTTAACAAACCTAAACAAACAATGAATGAGAGAGAGATTAACTGAGCATGTGCGATTACTTGCGAGTCATATATATTTGTTAAAATATGTTGTCATGTCCAAGGAAAGCCAAATCTCTGTCTTAGCATCGACGCATATTGCGTCCTTTTTCTCACACTGAACAACAATATTTATTGTATCTGCATTACTGTAAGGGTAGGTTTAGGGTTGGAGTAGGTGTAGACATTATTAAACCATAATTTTACAGGTAGCATTTTTACCTGTTGTCGAATTGTACTACCCACTGCTTTAATGGGAGGTAGCAAAATCTGACAGGGCAGCACAAATCGACAGAACACCGGCTGCTCTCGAAGTATCGCGGTACTTTGGCGTCGGCGCCGGTGTAGTGCCGAAATTTGCACCCTGACAAATTATGCACCCCCTAGTATTGGTAGGTTTAGGAGTAGGTGTGGGGGAGGGGTTATACTGTACATGCTAATGTTCTCCTAATCAGGTAGCGACTTCAACGAGGGGGTGCATAATCTGGCAGGGGTGCAGAATTCGGTGTTCTGACAAAATAATGCTACCTATCAGATTATGCTACCAACACTGTATTTATCCTACTGTAAGGGTAGGTTTAGGGTTGGGGTAGGTGTACATGTTAATAAAGCCTCACACCTTATTAATATCATGCTGGAAGCAAAATCTGATAGGTAGCACTTTTCGCTATCGAATTATGCTACCATCTGCTTTAATTTAATCTGACAGGGTAGCACAAATCATCCGGTTCAAGTCGGACAAAATTTGTAACCGGCATGCACTGCTTCAAGTCAGCCGCCTATCGGTCTGCGCAGCGCCGCATGAAGTCCACGCGCGATACAATCATAAAACACCGACACCGGATCTAATAAACATTTATATACACTGTATAACAGACCCCGAGATAAAAGCCCCAGACAGCGTCCGCCGTTTAATCACAGAGCAAAACAAGAACAGGAAGAGTTTCAACAACATCAGAAAATCCCAAGAAAGAAGAAACAAAGCACAGAAGAAATCGCAGAATTGTGAAACAAGGCTCATCACACATAGAGAAGCAGATCTTCATCATAAACCGACACTCACGGGTTCCGTGGACGCAGTGAAGCAGAAGAACCGAGCAGATGAAGCCGATCCGAATCTCCATCACCTGCACCGTTCCGATCAATCACAGATATCGATATCAGTCACGGAGGCGCTGCTCGCTGTTCAGCGTTTTCAATAGTTGAATATTATCAGAGGTCCGCGAATCGCTCTGATGCTTGAGCGGACCGGTACCGCACTCTCGTGATCAGTGACGGGGCAGTTCTGCCCTCCCGGGGCAAATCCCAGCCATTTGAATGAAGCCGGCTGGGGGCGTGGCTCTGCCAGTGGTGTGATATTTGAAATGAGGAACGTCAGCGCTGTGGGCGGAGCCTCGCGGTTAATGCTCTTATCATTATGACAGTTTACACACGGGGCGCTTCCTCGTGCAGATAAGAGCATGAATGAGACACAGCAGTATCCGAGCATCTCTTTAACTCTGTGAGAAGCGGGTGCTGCGTGTTACACACCTGTTGAAAATACACATGCATGACAAACACACCTGTGCTCCTTCATCGGGTTTTTTAAAGCTCATATCTAACATGGATAGTGGGCTAATATCATTTACATGAGGCCGGGGCTGATATAAATCACAGAATATAAATCAAGCAGACTGAATGGTGCCTGAAACCCCTGAGTCCTTGAATCGGGCCCTCAGGGGCCAAAACGCCTCACACTGCTCTTACTGTGAAACCAGCTCACAAATACTCAGAATGTCCCTGTTCCTTAAAAATAAGAGATAAATATTGATCGCACTGTAAAATTTCAAACTGAAAACAAAAATATTTCCCAGAAATGAGGATCAGACATGAATTTGTTTAAGCGGAATCATATTACATAGAATATAAAGCCTGAGATCATCTGCTATTTACAATATCATCAATAAAAGTAAAAAAACTGAAATGGTCACGCCGTCAATTCAAGTCACCTTTATTTATATAGTGCTTTATACAGTACAGATTGTCAAGCAGCTTTACAGTGTTAAACAGGAAAATAGTGTCGATAATGCAAGAGGACAATAGTAAACAGTCTTATCAGTTAAAGTCAGTTCAGTGATGTGATAGTGTCTGTGCAATCAGTCAAGCGTCCCCAACTAAACAAGCCAAAGGCAACCGCAGCAAGAAACCAAAACTCCATGCTGACAGAAATGGAGAAAAACCCTTGGGAGAAACCAGGCTCAGTCGGGGGCCAGACCAAACCAGCATAGTGTGGTTTAATTCCAGGCTGCAGCACAGGTCAGATTGAGCAGAGGACTCGTCTGGTCATCGAGGTCTTCGCAGGGGATCTGTCTCTAGGGATCGTCCAGCTCAGCCGGAGGGAACATGATTTGCATTGTATTTGTAGATGCAGGGAAATGATGTTTCCGAGCTCCGCAGGCCTCCATTAACAGATGAGTTACTCGCTGAATATCAGGAGCGCAGACTGAATGCCACACGCGGAACGCTTGTATTATTTTGCATATTTAAAATCACTCTTCAGTGCGGAGGAAAACTAGTTTGCAAATTTGATATCCTGAAAGTTAAAAACAATCGTATGCACCTTATAATGAACTGAATAGTGTTCAATATGGTTAAAGTGATGAGGAATCAGGCTTGTGAAGCAGAGAGGGAGTTTCACGAGGGTCAGACAGGTGAGAGAGAGACGGGACGATGACACACTCTCTGAAGCACGAGTGGAATGTTGAAATGTCTGTTGGATGACTTCAGGAATGAGAGGAACCTCGCCTCAGAAGATCGTCCCTCTCAAAGAGCGTTTGTGAAGCGACCTCAGACTGTTAATCATTACAGCAGAAACTTCTCTAGTTCAACAGGAACTCGCGAGGGACACAAAGCAGACTCCTGGAGAGTGTGACTGTGTTTGCAGAAGATCCTGAAGACCAATACAGCTCTGCTATAGCTTTACAAACCCCTTGCAGAATATGAAAAATGTTAATCATTTTAAAAGGGATCATGAAAATTGCTGAAAATGCTAATAAAAATAAGCTGCTTCACAACAGATGTTTACATTTACTTCACAAGACAATTCAAATTTAATTCAATTTATAAAATCTGTTCAAAATTGTACACACCCTTTAACCGTAATGCTGTGTGTCATTACCTGGATGATCCACGACATGTGATAGCTGTTCATGAAAAATCCTCCAGCATCTTCTGCGTATTTGACCCCTTTCCAACAGTGAGCGTATGATTGGAGATCCATCTTTTCACACCGAGGACAATGAGGGACTCAAACACAACTATTACAGAAGATGAAAACATTTACTGATGCTCCAGAAGAACAGTGTTTAAAGTCATGAGTCCAAAACAGTGTGAATGAGTTTATGGTGAAATCACACTCAGTGTTTGTGCTTTAGAGACAAGAGTTGGTGAAAATGAGGCAATGCATTTGTCGTCTTTCTGTTTAGATGTGGAGAGATACACACAAACTCATCATCATCATCATCATCATCGTGTCTTCAGAACACTTGTGACATGAGCAGCAGTAATGATATTAACTTCATCTGGCAAAAATAAAAAGTGGTGTAGTGGCTTTCCTGAAGTTTTTCTCTTCAGTGTTTTTGTGAGAGCAACATGATCATCACATTCACTGTTTGTTTCAGATGTAAACAATCAAACTCCACAAACGTTGTCACTTTTCCTCGAAATCTGCAGTGAACTCGCTAAAACTGTTCAAGAACGCCACCTAGTGGTTACTGTGTCATATTACACACAAAATCACTATTGCCTGGCAGATACACTCCAAAGTGTTTGTAGTACACACTAAGAAGTGTTTGTGTCTGTTTCAGTAATACCTGTAAGGTATACAGTGACATTCCAGAGGATTCTGTGCTTCAGTGTTTAATACAGCAGTTTGTGGAGGGTTTGTTCTCGGTTCCAGCATTACAAGACGTCCATTTAGGAATGATTTATTGAGTCTGGCTGGCTTACACAAAACCCACACCTTCAGGATCAGCTGGAAAACCACCTGAGAACCAGACCAGACCACATCATCCACATCAGGTCAGACTTTGAGCGTTTCATACTGTATATCAGAGAAAATACAATGGACAACTACAAACACAGACATGAGGTTGTGATGTTTATTGGGTTTCATCCAGTGGATGAAGATCTACACACACAAACATACATTCACTACAGTTAAGAGCACATGCCATTAAACAGCCGCTAGAAACTTCAGGAATAATATGATTCATCTACTACAGTAACAGAGCAGATCAGCCGTCAAAACACCAGAAACAGTTATAGATATGATGATTTAACACAGGACTTCTCAGCTCCGGTCCTCCAGATCCACTTTAGCTCCAGCTGTGGTCAGACTCACCTGGCTGTAGCTTTCTAGTGATCCTGAAGACCTCGGTTAGCTTGTTCAGGTGTGTTTGATTAGGGATGGAGCTGAGAAAGCCTGCTTTAACGTGAATAAACACTCAGACGCACACAGGGCCATTCTCTTCTAAGGCGTTCAGCAGTTACAAATCAACAGACATCATCCATTTTCAATCAGAGCTGGCGATTTCCAGCAATACGAGCGACAGAAACAGAGTTCAGCGTATTTCAGCGTTACACAAACGAGCAGCGACACGATTCAGGGACAAGAGATGGGAGCAGACCGGGATCCGCTTCATAAAGCCGCTTTCTGTGAGAAAGCTCTGTTCCCGTGTGTTTGCAGCGTCCCCGAGCGCAGGGGTTTGATTTCCATGATTTCCATGATGTCTCCTTAATCACACACACCTGATTCAGATCATCAGCTCATTAGTAGAGACTCCAACACCTGCAATGGGTGTCGGACAGAGGAGAGGTGCAAAACGTGCAGTGCTGGGGGTCCAGGAGCGTGTTTGGGAACCGCTTCTCGTGCGTCTGTCCTTTACTCGAGTACTTCAGCGCAAGATGAGTGTTTCAGAGAGCTTCGGTCTGCAAAAACCCTCCAAACACTTTCCCTCAAGCGCATGTAAGCGTGAGCGTCCGGTCAGTGTGTTAACGGCCTTAAAACTGGTCTTTCACACACACCCCGCTTGTACAACAAAACAACAATCATATGAGCGTATAACAGGCTGCTTCTAATCTATTACATCTACTGTACATGCTAATGTTCTCCTAATGACACACTAGTGCAATTAACTGACAGGTTACTGGGTTTATACTAGATCATTTGACAGACGATCACAAATATTGCTCTTCTAAAACAGCAACGTCTAATATTAAACGTCACAGAAACATGACGATGTCTGAGGAGCATCTCGTCCAGGTCTGAAAACTCACTGAGATTTAAAACTCAAACAGCCACAGCATCTCAGTACAGGCAGAGATTCCTTCTTAATGATGAATGTATGAACGAACGATTATTCTGGGTGCTGATGAAGGGATGATTGTGTTCTTCTACTGTATGGTGTGTTTGTATCTTTAATGGTTTGCTGTGGATCTTCATCCCTGCTCTTCCTCACTGGCGCTGTTGGACCGATCCTAAACAAACACCAGAGTCACAAACACACACATGATGAGACTAAATGTTCTGTGTGTGTGTTTGTGAGTGTGTGCATGCGTGTGTGTGTGTTTGTGAGTGTGTGCATGAGTGTGTGTGTTTGTCACCTCCTCCTGATCCTCATCTGTGTCGTCGTCACTAACGACAGGTTTCGCTCTTGTTCTCGCGGTTCTCCTGCGTCCTCTGCCGCGCTCTGCGCTTCTGTCCTTACGGCTCAGTTTAATCTTCACCTTCACAGACCGAGCTGCACACACACACACACACACACACACACACACACACACACACACGGTCAGTAGTTCATGGTCATGATCCAGCTAGTGGTTAGTTCACACATAAATAACTTTTGAATTTGAGTTTGACTGACTCTCTGAATCCGAGCCTTCGTCCTCTTCATCTTCCTCACTCTCCTCTCCGTCACTCTCCTCCTCTCTCTCGATCTTCTGACGCAGGCTGCTGAACACCGACTGCAGCACGATAGAGTCCTCATAGATCTGAAACACACACACAAAACACACACACACACAAAAGAGTAAATGCATCTGTAGGTTAGTGTGTGTGTGTGAGTGTGAGAGAGAGAGTGTGTGTGTGTGTGTGTGAGAGAGAGAGAGAGTGTGAGTGTGAGAGAGAGAG